TATGAGGGAAAAGCCCTTTGCAGATGGAGTAGTGCATTTCTGTCTTGAAAGCCCGCCCTACAGATAGAAGTTCCTATCTCTACTGCCTATCCAACCTGAAGACTTTTATTTGTGGTGGAGTGCTTCGGGTTTGGGTGTTTAAATCAAAATTCCAAAACTTAAAATCAATGAAATCAATTCTATTATCTTAGTGTTGAGTTTGAGGGCTCCTCCACAAATTTGGAATAAGCCCATAGTCCCAAATCGTTTTGTTGCATCCAGGTCAATAATACGAAATGGTACAATAATCGTTTGAGTAACTCAACATTCGAGTTTAAAATTGTACACAAATGAATTTGATCAAACAGTTTTTGCTTCTTAGGAAAATGATATTCAAGATGTTGGATCAAAGATGCATAGCTATCCAAATCACCGTCCCATATCTTATACTCCCAAAAGCAACCCAAGATTGCTAATTTGACTTCACTGTTGACTAATAAGATGGAATCCAAGTCGAGTTCTTGATGAACAAAGTTGTAGGTTGATCTCAAATGCATCAGTGCCTCTAATAAATCCATTAGTATCTTGATCAATTATGGTGTCATCATTTTTTTTATCATCAAATGAGTAGGTTTGTCTAAACCTAGTATTGAAGTGCACAATCCACATTTTGAGTTATCATAAAAACTTTTTCAGCTTGATGTTGGATATATAGCTGAGATACTGACTTCAAGGTCATAACTTGATCATGGGTGATGCTAAATGAACCCTAAAATTAATTGACTACACCCTATGATCTAAGTACACCATAATATTTAAATCAAAATATAAAATTAACTAAGTACACTCTATTTAACTACCAAAAATACCCATGGTACACCCTAATACACTCTATCACACAACACCAAACCCATTCGAGACCTGGCTGCCAAACACTATCAAACTACCAAACCCACCTTGTTGCCGAACTTGCTGCTTAACCCACCAAAGCTGCCGACCAAAACTTCCAAGGTATGTAACTGATTTTTTAATTTTTCCAAGTTTTGTCAAATATTAGACTCAATTTTACCTTGTAGTCTTGGCATTGGTAGTATTTGGGTTATGAATTGTGTAACAAAATTTTCACTGCCGAAATTGTTGGTGCAGATTCAGATAGGTTATGTGCACATTCGATGTAACTAGTCGTGGAGACAGGCATGATTTGGAGATGAGTTTGGTTTGTCAACTTCTTGCGTTTTATTCCAAATTTGGGTTGTAGCGGGCACATATTATTCTTTCTTTATAATTCATGTGGCTGTGATATATTATTTGATGAGGTACCGCCAAAACCAATTTAACCATTTGGAAAACCAAGTTGGGAAAAATAATGCTTACAAAGATATATGGGGATGTCTAATTCCAAGAAATAGATTTGATGATATTGAAGGCTTGTGAATCAGAGGAACTTATTAGATTAAGGAACAAGTTGATCAATCAACAATTCAATACGGTGAATAGGATGTACTTATTAATATTATGTTTGTTTCACAATTCAATATATCATTTTTGTTCATTTTATATTAGAAATTAGTAATTCAATACATAGTGTGGTAGTAGGAGGGTATACTCACTTAATTTTAGAATTCCTTACCCTATTTCATTTCACATTACTATTAGATTTAAAAATGTTTAAAATCAACTTTTGAAAATATTAAACAATAAAAAAATAATAGCACTTTGTTTTGCAATTAGGCTCACTAAAAATAAATGAGTATTGAGTTCAGGCTTAAACCACCAAACTGCTTGAACCAAATCGTTTAACAATTGTTTAATTTGTTTTGATTTCACCCCTCATTCCGTAACTCATCGCTTAACGGTTGATTAATATAAAATGGCAGTTTGAGGGTGAAATCAAATCCATATAGGAGTGCACTTACCATAAAAGCACTTCCACCACAAGGTTTTAGCCTAGGTAGGAGGGGGCCCTAGGCTTGTGAGACGATTTTAGCACGTACAAAGCAGCCCGAGCAAGACGTGGGGGCCACCAACCTGGGCGAGCTCAAAGGCAGATCTAGCCCTACTATTACC